AAGAAGAAGAAGGAGACGTATTCATTTTTCACGAAAACCATCACTTTTCGACCGCTCATATGTCCAGAACGGCTTTACCGATTTTAATTTTTTTTAGCTCAAATTTCTCGTGGCGATGCGGCTTTCCAGGATATATTACGTGCGTTTCAAAATTTTTTATATTTTAGTAGTTATACACCCACGAAAAATGCACTTTGGTGGCTCGGGATAAGAGACTTGTAGTATCTTTCATTTCGTTTTCATTAATCTTGAAGTAGTTTTTTTTTAACATGGTCGGAGACACTACCGTGTCTCCTGATAATATTTTTTCTAGACATAGTATCTTTTTTGCAAACATGTCTTGTTTAGACATAGTATCTTTTGTACAAGCATAATAAAGATAATTCCACTTGCATTTTTAAAGATAATATCACTTGAAATTTTTAATTTAGCAAAGACAGTACCACTTGGACATTATTTTTTTTTTTGATGGAATTTTTTGGTAGAATTTAATTTGATCTTAAGATCGAACCATATAATTAGTTTTTTTCATGGTCCAAATGATACGTGTTATTACAATTAAGTAAATAAATAAAGAAGATAGTTTCAATTATTAGGTTTAATACATGATACATACATTAAAATTAACTGGATCATGAATATACTAAATAAACTAAATTTATTTCGATTGCAATTAAATTTTTATTATTGTATGGATATACTGAAATAAATGTATAATAAAAGTTATTTCCAAATTGATTTCGGAATATGTCGACATTAAAGCCATGAAAAATTCCAAAACATCTTGTTGTGTTCGTTCTTCGAAGCGTTCTCCGACAAATCTTCAAACCGCTAAAATGTAGCAACGCTTACGTTCAGCGTACGCGCCGATGGCATCAGTCAATGTGTTCGATACTTTATTTTTCAGTATTTGTTGCCTGATACTGTTTCCTCGCAAACATAATTCTGTACGTCATCAATGATATGAGGTATGGCACGACAGTCGTGAATTTTGACAGCCTTTATCTCGGATGAATTGATTTGTTGTAGCTGAGATTTGAACATAGATCTCAGTCGATTATGTTCTACAGTGGCTCCCGAGTTTGCTTTAACGGATGCCGGATTGAAATTTATCAAATGCAGGCCTTCCAGTGTATTCACTCGTGACAAACCTACATAGGCTTGACCATCACTGAACACACTCATTTCTAGATCCGTCATAGCATTTTTACACGTAATTTTTTGACTTTTGTGTATAGTTATTCCATAACTGAGAGGCAATCGAAATTGTTTCCGATGTACCACCATTTTGTGAAAACAAATAACAAATATATATATTTTCGGTTCTTATTACGTAACTTTCTATAAGTTACAATTTACGCGCTACAGTTAGAAATTAAGTATTCATATAAGCTGTACAGTACTAAAAATTAATATAGAGCTACAAAAAAAGATATCGTGAGTAATCAATACCCATAGAGGGCCACATTAGCAAAATGCCATGCTATTGTTTAAATTAGTATGACTCGAAATATATATAAATAAAATGTTAAATAGCAAAGAGCACACTCAAAAATACATATAAAAATTAAAATTGAGAGTTCACCTCCGATGACTTTGACCCTACCACACATTACGAAGGTCATCACACCGAACAACCTTCGGAAGGTTTTAGCAGTAGGTAACCCATCATATCTAACGAAGTTCTCGAAAAAAATTAGTACGACCTTGACTCACAATGTCAAGGTCACGACGCTGAGTGACCATCGGACACTTTCAGCAGGCGAGGATATGAGAGGACGAAAGAGAGTGAGATAGGGCGGAAAATAGAGGGTTGGTGCGGGTGGAGGTGGGGTGGAAGAGTGGTGGTGGGAGTGGGTGGAGTGGGTCGCAGTGTGAGGTGTGTGTTTGGGGGAGGTGTGAGTGAAAGGTGAGAGACAATAGAGGTGCATGTGACTGCGGATAAAGAAGAAGAAAACGTTACTTCATTTTTCACGAAAATCATCACTTTTCGACCGCTTATATGTCCAGAATGGCTTCACTGACTTTTATTTTTTTTGGCGCAAATTACTCGTGGCGATGCCGCTTTTCAGGATGTGTTACGTACGATTCAAAATTTTTTATATTTTAGTAGTTCTGTACCCCCCAAAATGGACTTTGGTGACTCGGGATAACAGACTTGTAGTGTCTTTCATTTTCATTTTCATTAATCCTAAAGTAGTTAGGATAGTTGAACGTGGCCGGAGACACTACCGCGTCTCCTAATTAATTCGCTGATATAAAAAATATAAATATAATAAGATTGTCTCTTGGGAATTAGCGCTGTACTATATGTGCGCGATCAATTTTAATATTAATAAATTGTATTCTATCTAATTACTAATTTGTATACATATTTCGGCTAACTTTATAGCCATCTTCAATACATAAAGATGATTCTTACATAGAGATGATTCGTGGTACGCATTAAGGCTGTGGTCCACTTGACGCTACAAACGCTTCGAAGCGTTTGACCAATCAGAATAAAGAATTTTACGAATTGACTAAATAAAGAATGCTTCGAAGCTTTTGTAGCGTCAAATGGACCGCAGCCAAGATGTATAAACCGACAGTATTCATATGTTTTCGCCATTTAATATCCGCAATGTTTCTCTATGAGGTAGTCAATCAACTATTTATTGAAGAGAAGACGCAACCAGTTGACTGGCTGGATGTGCAACAGTGATTAAGCGCCCTCAATTAATTCACACAAGTTATTCATAGAGTACTAAATATATCCATTATCAATAATGGTATCAACTCACCTCCATTAAAACACCGCTGATAAACGTCATAGATAAAATAATTTTGTCAATTAATAATTA